TCCGGTTTGGGCTACAAACTCCATTTTTTGTGTACGAATCAGTAGTGTCGTAGCTAGTGCAGAAAAAAAAATTCAAGGCAATCTGACCTTTTTTTGAAAACTTTGATCCCTAATTTCCTCAAGGGGAGATACTTTAGAAAATATCTTTTGACATTTTTCAAGTCGCATCGGTAAGAGCTACTTACATACTTAATTTCATGAAAATCGTGCAACTATTAAAGAAGTTGTCAAGTTGATTTTAACTTCCGGTTCGAAATCACAGGTAATAATAATAATCTTAACAGAAACAATAAGCTTTCATATGTAATACATATCAAAGTTCACTATCTTCATCGTTAAATAATACGTCCAACACTTCCTCGGCAGTCAGCCGTGACATAACGCCTCGTTTTTGGGAACATGTATCATCACATAAGTCGACGAAATCTTCGGAAAATTATCGAAAAAAATTTAAACAATGCTACAAGAATGACAACAGACGTCAATTCTTTCGTTTAGTGAAACGCCACCTAAAGAACATGGGAGTTAACTCTATTAAAACGCCGGGAAATAAATACAATCGGTAATCCCAGAATATTCCGGGTGCCGTCTATGGATTGCTCGTGACGATCCCGGAATAATCCATGTAACACAGGACAAGGGCTAAATTGTCACCAACTAAGTGCCGGGAAATAAATACAATCAGTAATCCCGGAATATTCCGGGTGCCGTCTATGGAGTGCTCGTGACGACCCCGGAATAATCCGTGTAACACAGGACAAGGGCTAAATTGTCACCAACTTAGTGCTGTGGATAAACTGTTACAATTTAAATGTCTGCTTTGTATTCCATTACATTATATATTTATCTTTTAAAAAAAGTATAGATACTTGTAGTATATTTTGTTGTAATTATGTAAATTGTGCTGTTTTATTTTACATTTGGTTGGAATTACATTTAGAATTCTGAATGGTTATTGGTAAATAGAGAGAGAAATGGCGTTTAACGTCAACTCGACTCACATTAGGTCATTTTGGGACTAATTATCGAAACCACGCCACTTGATTCAATGATAGACCATATGATGCAACGCACATGCGTTAACCATTCGACCACCCAAACCCCTATGGGTAAATAGAGAGAGAAATCAAAGTCCAATAGACATAACATACTATTCAATTTAAGTACAATGATTTGCTTGTGCTAGGGAGGATACAGAGAAAATCCACGTTTACGTCTGGTATCGAAACCAGTTAAAGCCACTTGTATCAATAACAGACATTATGATTTAAAGTGCATGCGTTAGATCACTTGACCATCGAGCCTTTCCTATGGTTAAAAATGAAATGAAATGAAATGAAATGGAGTTTAACGTCCTACTGTTCTGCTCCTAACCTGGGCTAATGAAGACGGGCATACGCCATACAGTGTGCTATGAGGGAAATTTTGCCCGGACAGCGGCACTACGGCCTACTCTTATATCGAATTCCAACTGCCAAGGGATCTTTTACGTGCACGCCAGTGTGTACACGGGACCTCGGTTTTTAGTCCCATCCGAACGACTAGACAGCTTTCCTTGTCAGCCCCTCCGTCCTGCATCACTGACAAGGGAGAACCACGCCGGAAAATCTGGATGAACTTTCTCGGCCAATGCAGGGATTGAACACCCGACCTCCAGGCTAGCGAGCTAGCGTCTTACCCACTTAGCCACGTGATCCCCCCTATGGTTAAAGAACATTAGGTTACTGGTTGACTGAATTTCAAATTTACAACCGCAAATAACACATCTATCAAAGGTTTTAATTGATTGTCATATTTTCATCACTTTGCTCATCAAAATTTGACTTTAGGATTGCGTCCAAAAAAGATGTTTATTTAATGTTAGTTTTATGTTAAAATGGTCGGTTAGATTAACGTCATTTCATGACGTAAAGTTAACATTAAAAAGATAAGCAAAATGATGGTAAACTGAGTGACCATTTTTACGTAAATTTTACGTAAATCTAACATCATGTGGTTATGTGGGTATAGCGTGCCAAACCTATTTGGGTTTGAACTAGGCAAACTAAATAATACATTTATGCACATAAAACATATATTAGTAAATAAAATTGTATTATATATATAGTAAAATTTGCCTGAAGAAGCTTAATAAAGCGGAAAGTACTCGCAAAACCTACATTCACTTTCCTAAAACAACTTTATTTCGAATATATATATATTAAAAATGTAAAAATCTCGTTACATACAATTAAAATGTATAATACAAATTTGTCTCCTTCAAAAAGTTCAACAATTCGGTATGTAACCCCGGTTGAACCATACACTGTCCCAATCTGTTTCCCAGAGGTATTACGAAATTCTTCTAATAACTCTGTAAAAGATGACTGCTTTCAACATGTGGCGTGACATCACGCGTTGCCAATCATTGGCTCAATGGTGCTTGCATTGTTTACATAAGACGTTACTTGCCCGGACAGAATGGTGCCGTTTACTAGTTGTACTCATTTTACATACCAATTTACACTAAATAGGGAATATTTTTACCAACATATACTTCAAACACTTTTATTTATTTTTCTAATGCTTAAAAAAATGTTCTAGAATTTAATTTGCAGAAGGAGAAAAGTTAATAGTAGGGGCTCATTAAGCCACGCCGATCTCATCCCTATCAATGATGGTAGCGGCATATCGAATATTCACTGTTGATCAGTGTGACACTGTCCATTTTACACACTGATCAGCAGTGAATATTCGCTAGGCCGCTATATTACTGAGAGGGATGACATCGGTGCAGGTTAATTAGCTAACAACATTAACTTTTTTCCTTCTTTAAATTAAATTCTAGAACATCTTTTTTGAAGTATTAGAAAAATAAATAAAAGAGTTTGAAGTGTATCTAGATACAAAAAAAATGTTTACTATTTAGTGTAAATGGGTATATAAAATGAGTAAAAGGCACCATTCTGTCCGGACCAGTTCACGTTATGTAAACATTGCACGTGCTATCGACCAATGTTCACACACAGAATGCATATGAATTTTATAAAGGTCAGTCATCTTACACAGAATCATAAGAAGAAGGCCTTTGCAATACCTCTTTGAAACAGATTGTCCATTTTGTTGCAAAGCGCGCCACTTTTATAAATGGATGATACACCTTACTCTTGCAATTCTGAATGAAACAATATCTTATCAAGACGATAACACAGTCATTAGAACGATGTTTTCATGATCGCGAAAACGCACCACAGAATGGGAATTTTAAAAATCAAGAGTTTATCATGTGGTATAAAATGTAACTTTTGAAAATACAGGCTGTGGAAGACGCAATGATATGCCATGAAGGTTGACATCTGAACACCAAGAGATTGCGCCATTACGTTAATTCAAGAGGGCGTGAGTACCAGAGTTACTCGAAGCAGTATTGTAACGAGAGTGGAGAAAGGGTCTCACAAACCGCCATTCAGGCGTTTATCTTCTCCACACGACGATGTCGCATGGCGCGTTTGTGGTTACTAACTTTAGATTTTAACCATTGTAAAATAAAGTGATTGCGGCCTCAGTATATTTATGATAAGTCACAAGAATATGCTAAATGTGTTGAATTTGTTGTAAACATACATAGGAATATCTCGGTTACTGGTCACTAATGTTTACTTTGAAGATAAAGTTCAGATAAGTGAAAAGGCCACGAAGTTTTTAAACTTTAGTAAAACGACAGATAATAAATGTAGTATTGCCAGGTAACGAATATGCCCATAAACAAAATTTTGAAGGGTTGCAGTCATGTTTTCAAGTCATAAAATTGATGAGCGATTCTGCAATTCTACAAGGTTTCTCCTGATGACTATCTAAATACTCCCAGTAAGTCTTAAAAACAATTCTGAAGAAAGCTGACCTGTAAGAGTGTATACAAAATGTTGGTAACATGGACTAGTTACCTGACTCCAGCAAGTTTGATAAAATTGTAACCGCACAGGCTAAGCATGTTCAACAGTCCCATTTAGATATCCCGACAAAAAAAATGGTTTGAAAACATAAACTAGAAGGGCATAGGGGACGACAATATACCTTCTTGAAATGTGAACGTAAATAAATCTCTAAATACGTTGAAACATTGACCGCTAACGCCGCTGCTCTGGTAAAATATAAGGATTGTTACCAGTCAAGAGTTTTATTGTTAACGGCTTAGGATTAGTACATATTTCAATTGTTACCAAAATTATGAGCAGTGCAGAAGCTACGTTTGTCTTCGTTACCATTTCAGGTCTAATCAGTATCCTACACTGCTTCATTTTTAGTGTTTTATTAAAACAAATAATTTAAGGGTCTACTCGTCTTAAGGTTTGTCAGTGTATATAACGGCTCTATTTCGTCAGACATTGTATGTTCTCTAGTTGAATTACTATGGGATGTACATATTTCAATTGTTACAATCAAGAACTGAGTCACCAAAATTATGTGCAGTACAGAAGCTACGTTTGTCGTCGTTACCATTTCAGGTCTAATCAGTATCCTACACTGCTTCATTTTTAGTGTTTTATTAAAACAAATAATTTAAGGGTCTACTCGTCTTAAGGTTTGTCAGTGTATATAATGGCTCTATTTCGTCAGAAATTGTACGTTCTCTAGTTGAATTACTATGGGATGTACACCTGCAGTTCAATTTTGGCAAATTCGTTCATTCGATTTTCAGTATCGATTGTGCTTATTTTTGGTTCAGATGTAAAATAATTACACTTCCAAAAATTTCACCCCAAGTCGTTCATGATATCTCTATTTGTTTGCATTTTCATATAAGTATACAGGGTGTATTCGACTAACCATAAAAACTGTAATTATTACCTATGGACCTTATGGCTTTGTTCACTCTAAAGTACCCTATTATAAAACAAACATAGCAAGCAAGTTCACAATATATGAATATGAATGTATGAAAGTTGTGTCAACACAGTAACACATGTACTGTAAACAGTTATTTTTTAAACATAAAATACTATGAATAATATGTGACTTACCTCTCCAAATTAAAGATGAATAAAATTAGCTTTATATACCTATGTCTTTCAATTACTATGTATATTATAACGGTTGAAATTGACACACGAGTTCTACTAACATACGTAAGGGAAGACACCAATGTACGTTTGGCTACATTCTCTAGTTATTTACCGTGTAAACAACGAGAAATGATCAGTGAGTGGGCAGAGATTCGGGTGAGTGTTTTTTAAAACCCCTTACGTACACATCTGTCGTATATTGGTTATCTGCTATCGCCGCCTTTTATTAAAATCCATTTAAATAAGAGTAAACATAGCAGGTTTCTGTAGGAGAAGTATTTCGGTGACAATGATATACCTGTTATTATTTAATCATTTTGCAAACTATACAAAACAAATGTTAAAGAGATAAATGTCTATATATAAACTCTAGTAACTGATTCACTCAAAACACATTTATATTGATATCGGGCTACATCCAATGCAAATGTTTTGCTGATTTTTTAAAAAGAAGCAAAAGGTATAACGTGCAGAATGCTGCTTACTTCATATGGGCACCAAATACCGTAACTGCTAAATAACTGTAATATGTAAACTTCAATGGATTCTACCCACAATCGATCTTGTGACGTTGCTATATAAAACTTTGAAATTGTAATTCGCCAAAATCTGCTTGATTGATAAATTACTTACAAACCTAAGCTAAACTAATCATGTAGTTAAGTACTGTTAATTGCGAGATGGAAGAAGATTAAAAAACACCACATTTAAAACACAAATCACAGGGCATCCACACCTCCCCTACAGTTTGCAGAAATTCAAAATTGGTTTCACGCTCGAGTTGAGACAACCTCCCCAAACCCCCACCTATGCACCAGTTCTTCATATTCCTTGAAAAATAACCCGATCATGCTAATAATCGTAATGCAATTGACAACGTTTACTGGAATATGATATATATATGCAAAGTTTCCATTTACGTTACTAGGGTTACCCGTGCATTGAAAATTTTCCCTACAGAAAGTTGGCCTCGACACGGCGAATGTGCACGCTTCAGTAGCTTGTCTGGAAGTGATTTCTCGCTAACTACGCAGTATGATAATACATAGCCATCGCACGTGCAATTCTCTACACATCTATCAACTATTACAGCCGTAAAAAAATCTATTGTTGACGATTCTGAATAGCAGTAATATTTAGTTTTAGAAAGGACGTTCGTTCGTTTTATTTTTTAAATTGCTTTATCATTAACTGTACCGTTAGGAGCGGCATATGTTAGTTTAGTACAAATAATATCTCTGAAACACTTGCGTTAGGCAAGAACATGATACTAGCAGTAGTTTCATTTTACTTTTACAAGGTTCTTAAAACAATTGTTGAGTTGCCTAACGTGCGTGTTTTTAAATTCAATTTCTTGTTCCAGCTTTCTGTTAAGTTTCGTAAAAAAGTAGTCTTAATTATCCCGGAATGGTCGGTAGACTGGTTAATAGAGACTAACCTATTTTTTTACTCAAAAGTGCCCGGATATTATGGCCGACACTCGTAACCATCTTTCAGTGTATTATTAATGGATGGTTAAATTGTCATAGCTTATTAAGGGCAACATGACTGTTTTTTTAGTGACTATAAATGTACGAAACTGATTTAAGGCTTGGTGTACATTTAAATATTGTGGTGTAATTGTCGAGATATTTGGCGATATTTATTTATGTTGGGTCACCCTAACATTACTATACACAATATTATGCCAACTTTTTCCCTGTGAGCTGTGCTACGGCCTACTCTTATTTCACTTAAATACAAAAAGCATTAGAATAATGACTGCACAAACCATCACTTACATCTACATAAATATATATACAGTTTTCGTTGATAATATTCATCAAATTTCATCTTCTTTTGGGGTGTTGTGATTATTAAAACCTGATCAAATCCTTATAAATACTCCACAACAAGTAATCCATTAATCAATTTTTGTTAAGTTCAGGTAAAGAGGTCTGTATGCCGTACTGGATGTTGTTATTAGCATTAAACTTTTATAATTTCATTTCTTTAATTAAGTTAGGTTCCCTTGAAGGTAATTAGAAGGGTGTCTCTGGTTGGTCAGCATTAAACATACATTATGCAAGAGCTAAATCTGCCTATTGTAGGTCTTTCTTTGGGCCTAAAATGTTATCTAAATTATTAATTAGACATTAATTAACTTATCCAGACCATAATCAGCTCTCGATGTCATCGCTAGCCTGCGATATTTAGCGGATTGCAATACATTTTTTGAAAAATAATTAAACGTAAAAATGGATAATCGAGACTTTGTTTTTATCGTACCGACTTTAGTAATGATGATCGAGGCTAGCCTAAAATTCAAAAGCTAATATCGCAGTTCAGAGTGGAGCAATTTGACTGAAATTTTCAGCATATTCTATTTACATTATTTATTTTTTTAACTATTATAGGGAGAACTGTCAACTCTTTATCTAATCTCCCACAATGACCCTTTAACCAAGTATTGTTGTATACATGTATATATTGTCTTGTTATATTTTCATATTTTATCATTGCTTGATAATGACTAGAGAAGCCTAGTCAAAACGTCACTCGGTAAAATGCAGTAATTGTATTTCATAGAATTGTGACCTGTATATTCCAGTTCAATTACAAAATGCCATTGAAACAATTTATCCACATATTTTCTTGTATTTAGGAGAGAGGTCATATAGGTTTGTCTGTTCCTCAATCCCTTTCAATTTCTGAATAAAATATTGTTTAAAAAAATCACTGGCAAGGGGAACCACGCCGGAAACTACAAGAAACTTTCTCGGTCTATAGCAAATTTGGTATGGATCGTCGGTGTGATGACGAACCGTGTCGAATAGCATATGAATACAAAAGACAAGCTAGGTCTATTGGCTACTGCATGGCATACTTGTTCTTTATCATATTTAATTAACTTATATATTATGAAATAATATACATAAGAATTAACCTGTTGCTTTTTAAGAAAGAATAAACGCTCATATACCAGAGCCGAGATCGTAACGTAAACGCTTTTCGGCATAATGATTTCTCAAATCCCTCCAAATCCACCACGGTTACAACTTGTGGCTCAGGGGGTTAGAGGTTGACTCGCTAACCTGGAGTTCTCGTGTTCGATCTTGGTATTGGCCGAGAAAAGTTCATCGGGTTTTCCGGCGTGGTTTCCCGTTGTCCGTAATGCATGACGGAGGGCCTAGCAGGGGATAACTATGGAAGTCTATAACTACCATGCATAATGTCTACTTTTCGCCTCTTCAGAACGCGAAAGTTGAAAAGTAGAAGTTACGACAAAATGTGAGGCGACAACACGCTATACAAGTCAAAATCAACTCGAAAATGAGAAATTAAGAAATATCACACCGCGATAATAGCGCCCCTCGTTTTTTCCTAATTTCTAATTTCGACTTAGTCATATTTTTGCATTTATTGATGTCAGTAAGAAGGCGCCAACACGCATACCAAGCCAAAATGCAACTCGAAAAGTAGAAAATAGGTAATAAAGACACGCGCTATTAGCGACCTATCATTTTGGCTTGCTGTCGTATTGGCGACTTTTCGAGTTTCGCCTCGCAATTAGCGACCTATCATTTTGGCTTTCTGTCATACTGTCGACTTTTCGACTTTCGCCTCGGAAGTTGTTGTAGTCTCAATTTCCCGGGTCGCATTTGAATACGTGCAATCAGGGCTCACACTGTCTTTCATTTTTTTCGTCAAAATGGACAATTTTTATATAAAATAATTTTTCATATTATTTTCCCGCCAACTGGAATATTGTATCTGCCAAAAATGTCTGATAAAAAAAAAAACACCTTAGACTACTATTCAAAAAAAAGTAGGGGATATTTGATTTTGGGGGCATAATACTAAAATATGCAAATGACTACGAAAAAAGTCACTATAGAACCTAACAGAAGAAACATTTCCAGTTACATGTGACGCCCAAACGCACCAATAGCGACCGCATGGAATGCAGGTGATGCTTGGGATCATCATGGGGGTCCAACCCAAGATTTGCACGACTCTGACTTTGAATGTTGCAGTCATTGTGGCATTGAATTCCAGGGTGGAAACATCAGTTTAATTGTTTTAGTGACCAGAAAACAAATTTTGATATGCGTCGGCTTACCCAAAATGAAAGGTTACGTGCCCTTGGCATGCTACAGATCGACACAACACAGGCGGTTGTGGCGCGGACGATGAATGTTTCTCAGTCTGTCATAAGCAGGCTATGGTCCAGATACCGTGATACACAATCTGTACAGGACAGACCACGCTCAGGTCGACCAAGGGCGACAACTCAAGCCCAGGATCGATTTATCCGTACCTTGGCCTTGAGAAATCGTGTCATCACAGCAAATCAGATCAGCGCTCGTCTTCAAACAGACACTGGTGTGAGAGTGAGTGGCCAGACGATTCGGAATCGACTGCATAGGGGTCACCTTCGCGCCCGACGTCTTCGCGTGATCCCTTGTTTGAGAGATCATCACATTCAGGCAAGACGTAGTTGGTGTAGGGATCGTCAACACTGGGATAATCGACGCTGGAGCAATGTGATGTTTTCAGATGAGTCAAGGTTCACTGTTGATTTTTTGGACAGACGTAGGAGGGTGTGGCGTCGTCGAAACGAGCGCTTCCAAGACGTTAACGTCATCAGACATGATCGATTTGGGGGTGGTTCTGTTATGGTGTGGGGAGGCATCACTGTTGCTGGAAGAACGGCTTTACATGTTGTTGCAGGGCGTGTTACAGGCCAGTACTACCGGGACAACATCTTGGCAGTCCATGTTGTGCCGTCCGCACGACGTCATGGCCGCCGTTTCATCTTCCAGGATGACAACGCAAGATGTCACAGGGCCAGGATCGTTACAGGTTACCCCCAACAACAGAACATCACCACATTACCTTGGCCAGCACTGAGTCCCGACCTCTCCCCCATCGAGCATGTCTGGGACATGCTTGGACAGAGGTTACGTCAACGTCAACAACGTCCTGCCAATGTCCAAGAACTTGCTGCTGCGTTGCAACAGGAATGGGACAATCTGGACCAAAATGACCTTAGACGTCTCATTGGGAGTATGCCACGTCGGATCA